TGACTGGGAACTCTAGAATTGGGGTGGCCATGGAGATTGAACCCAAGTTTTAGGATGTAGGTTAATTAAGCCTTTATATCTCACATGAAATGACTTGGACATTGATCAAGGGCTTCCTTTGGAGTGAAAATTGTGTGAGGCAGCATCCATAGCTAAGGGGAGTTTCCAGGAAATTCACATCACTGTAAGCTATCAAGGACATTACTCGCAGAGGGAAAAGTTAGTGTTTCAGCCCTGGAGTGCAATCTAGTGGACACATCAGAGCAGTCAGTAAGCTACAGGCTGCTCCATGCACTGCTCAGACCCACGTGCTTTGTATTGTAAGTTTACCCCTTCAGAGAGCTTCATCTCCAGGATCCAGGTTGCTGTCTTTCCTGAAACCTGAGACAATAGTCAGTGGGATAAAATGTAGTCCCACTCATTGAAAATGGTCCCAGGCTACAAATGCTGCTACACTTATCCATTTACCATCAAAATAGGACAGGGAAGTGCTAGAAGAGCCTCCCCGTGAGTCAACAGGATAGCATATGTGTTCTTCCTGCCTCCATCATGCAAAAGAATTCTGACATTTACCTATTGGGGAACACCACAGCATATGATTGTCAATTAAGGGTTACAGGACATTCTGGAGGAGAAAGCCCTTTCCTCACAGATATTATTTGCAAAACAGTACCTTTGCTTTAACTTCACAGGTAACACCATCATTCTGTCAGGTTAGTTGTATAAAATAGGACTATGGGATCACATGGTTATTTACCCACTTTTACACATTTTTGGTATTAAGTGGATCCCTTAGTTCAAAGAGATTATGGAATCATGTCAGTGTTTCAAACCTGTGAGCCCTTTTCTAATGAGGGGTCACATTATGGGAAAGGAAAACTTAGACGCAGAATATACATCAAGCCCACTCTAAATAAATCAGTGCACCTTCCAGTGTGGAAATTTGTTCCATTGTATTTAACTTGCCACCAGTGGCTGGGTGATTTCCTTGAGGAAACGTGCAACATCAGGGACACAATCCTGGAATTTATTTCTGTTAGGTTGAACATTCAGCAGCACATGACATTAGAATGAGCCTTGGTAAATGTGAGCCTATATTCTTGACTCCAAGTTCATACCTACCCCATAGCTGCTCCCCTTTTGAGCCCATCTTGCCAGCATTGAGTAATACCAATACCAGAGGCTAGCTAATTTCTGCTGGCAGGTAGTTTTGTCTACTTGATTGTTTAGTTATCTTCTGGGTGCTTACTTAGTACTTTGACCGGCTTGTGCACAATCTCTAATGTTCTATTTCCAACTTAAAATGAATTGCTGATGGTCCTTATGATTTTGTGGATCCAACAGAACTTCAGTTCATGAGGGACGGTTCTGGCTGCACTGATACCCTGTGGCTAACTATTCCATTCTTCCAGGGTCCAGTAGCATGACTGGAGATATTTTTCAAGTGGTTTATAGTTGTCTGATGCAGATGGTTTGCCATTGTTCCAGATCCTATGGGTCTCTATTGCTATTCTCGTATTGGAAGTTCAATCAAGTCCACATGGTAACTTTTCCACCATAGATAACTTTAATAACACACCTGGATATGCTGTAGAAGGACACTTTCCTCCTCTAGCCTTCATTCAAAGAAGGCAGATTTCTGTGTCATTTGATACATGGGTTGGAGCAACATACTCAAGTGTGGAATTTTATCCCTTTAGTACCCAAAGAAGCCTATCAGTCATGGCTTTCTTCTTAGCAAGAGAAACTGCAAAATTAAATACTTTGTCCTTTATTAGGGAGGTGTCCTGCCATATCCTCTGCCATGGATTCTAAAATACCTTGATGTGGTGGACTCCTTTGTAGAGTTTATTTTCTGTCCTTTAAAGTACATATATCTTACCATGGGCCTTCAATATATTTGTCACTTTAAATTTTTTTTATTTAAATAATAATTATTATTTTATTGTACTTTAGGTTCTTGGGTCCATGTTCAGATCATGCAGGATTGTTGCATAGGTACATACATGGCAGTGTGGTTTGCTGCCTCATCCCCCATCACCTATATCTGGCACTTCTCCCTCCCCAACCTCCCCACCTCCCGCTGTCCCTCCCCTAGCCCCCACCAACAGACCCCAGTGGGTGAAGTTCCCTTCCCTGTGTCCATGCGTTCTCATTGTTCAACACCCACCTATGAATGAGAACATGTAGTGTCTGATTTTCTGTTCTTGTGTCACTTTGCTGAGAATGATGGTTTCCAGATTCATCCATGTCCCTACAAAGGACACAAACTTATTTTTTGTGGTTGCATAGTATTCCATGGTGTATATGTGCCACATTTTCCTTGTCCAGTCTATCATCAATGGACATTTGGGTTGGTTCCAGGTCTTTGCTATAGTAAACAGTGCCACAAAGAACACACATGTGCATGTGTCTTTAATATAGAACAATTTATAATCCTTTGGGTATATACCCAGTAATGGGATTGCTAGATCGAATGAAATTTCTATTTCTAGGTCCTTGAGGAAGCACCAAGCTGTCTTCCACAATGGTTGAACTAATTTATACTCTCACCAACAGTGCAAAAGTCTTCCTATTTCTCCGTATCCGCTCCAGCATCTGTTATTTCCAGGTTTTTTAATGACTGCCATTCTAACTGGTGTGAGGTGGTATCTCAATGTGGTTTTGATTTGCATTTCTCAAATGACCAGCAATGAGCATTTTTTCATATGTTTGTTGGCCTCATATATGTCTTCTTTTGAAAAATGTCTTCATGCCCTTCACCCACTTTTGAATGGGTTTGTTTGTTTTTTTCTTGTAAATCTGTTTTAGTTCTTTGTAGATTCTGGATATTAGCCCTTTGTCAGGTGGGTAGATTGCAAAACTTTTTCCCATTCTGTTGGTTGCTGGTTCACTCTAATGATTGTTTCTTTTGCTGTACAGAAGCTCTGGAGTTTAATTAAATCCCATTTGTCTACTTTGGCTTTTGTTGACAGTGCTTTTGGTGTTTTAGTTATGAAGTCCTTGCCTATGCCTATGTCCTGAATGGTTTTGCCTAGGTTTTCTTCTAGGGTTTTTATGGTGTTAGATCTTATGTTTGTCTTTAATCCATCAGGAGTTAATTTTAGTATAAGGTGTCAGGAAGGGGTCTAGTTTCTGCTTTCTGCACACGGCTAGCCAGTTTTCCCAACACCATTTATTAAATAGGGAATCCTTTCCCCATTGCTTGTTTTTGTCAGGTTTGTCAAATATCAGATGGTTGTAGATAGGTGGTATTGCCTCCGAGGCCTCTGTTCTGTTCCATTGGTCGATATCTCTGTTTTGGTACCAGCACTATGCTGTAGCATGAGGCCTGCAGCTTTTTTTTTTTTCTTAGAATTGTCTTGGCTATGCGGGCTCTCTTTTGGATCCCTATGAAGTTTAAGGTGGTTTTTTTCAGTTCTGTGACGAAGGTCATTGGAAGCTTGATTGGGATAGCATTGAATCTATAAATTACTTTGTGCAGTGTGGCCATTTTCACAATATTGATGCTTCCTAACCATGAGCATGGAATGTTTTTCCATCTGTTTGTGTCCTCTCTTATTTCCTTGAGCGGTGGTTTGTAGTTCTCCTCGAGTAGGTCCTTTACATCCTTTGTTAGTTGTATTCCTAGATATTTCATTCTCTTTGTAGCAGTTGTGAATGGGAGTTCACTCTTGGTTTGGCTCTCTGTTAGTCTGTTATTGGTCTATAGGAATGCTTGTGATTTCTACACATTGATTTTGTATCCTGAGACTTTGCTGAAGTTGCTTATCAGTTTAAGGAGATTTTGAGCTTAGACGATGGGGTCTTCTAAACACACAATCTTGTCATCTGCAAATAGAGACAATTTGACTTCCTCCTTTTCTAATTGAATACCCTTTATTTTTTTCTTGCCTGATTGCTCTGGCTCCAATACTGTATTAAATAGGAGTGGTGAGAGAGGGCATCCTTGTCTAGTGCCAGATTTCAAAGGGAATGCTTCCAGTTTTTGCCCATTCAATATGATATTGGCTGTGGGTTTATCTTAAATAGCTTTTATTATTTTGAGATATATTCCATCTGTATTTTATTGAGTTAGCATAAAGTCTATTGAATATTGTTGAAGGCCTTCTCTGCATCTATTAAAATGATCATGTGGTTTTTGTCTAATTCTGCTTATGTGGTGGATTATGTTTACAGACTTGTGTATGTTGAACCAGCTTTGCATTGCAGGGATGAATCCTACTTGATCATGATGGATAAGCCTTTTGATGTGCTGTTGCAATCGGTTTGCTGGTATCTTATTGAAGATTTTTGCATCTATTTGCATCATGGATATTGGACTGAAGTTTTCTTCTTTTAAAATAAAGTTTATTTTTTTAATTGACAAGTAAAAATTGTGTATATTACTAGTCCACATATAGTATATATTTCTAATGCATACATACACACACACACACATGCATCATTGTGGAATGGCTAAATAAAGCTATTTAAGATATGCATTACCCCGCATACTTTTTTGGTGGGGGGACTTGCCACTTCTCAATCATCAGGTTTAATTAGTATGATGACCTTGACTTAGTGAGCCAATATGATGCTTTATAAGATGTGGAGACAGTTCAGATCCCTTATGACTATTTCATAACAGAGGGTGGAATTGTTAGCATAGTCTTGGGGCAAGACTATCAAAGGACTGAACTGTGTTCCCTGAAAAGGCTTTTTTCTTTTGAGGCTTTAATGTAACTGTATTTAAAGATCGAGTCTTTAAGGAAGTCATTAAGATTAAAGGAGGTTATAAGGATAGGATTCTAATCCAACAGGGCTGTGTCCTCCTTACAAGAGTTGCTAGAAGAAGGCCAGGTGAAGAGACAGTGAAAAAGCAGATAATCTACAAGCCAAGAAGAAAGGCTTCAGCAAAAATCAGATCTCGAATTGGCATCTGGATCTTGGACTTCCAGCCTCTACAACAGTGAGAAAATAAATTTCTGGCAGTGGTAGTTAGTTATTGCAGTGCAAACAGACTAATACAGATACTATTATCCATCCCACATAAAAGTGGACTCCTTTTGGTCTTTTTTCCTGGTGGTGATGGAAAAGAACACATTCACCAAATGATAGCTACAAACCATGGAACTGAGACTATGTTAACCTACCATGGCAAAGATGCCACATACAGCAGCACAGCAGCTGCAATTGAGACTACAGAATACCACATGTGACCTAGTTATATTTGAGTTTGTAGTAGTTCTTCTCTGTCCTGGTCCAACCAGTTATTGTAGGAGTCAGACTAGTAAATAAAATGAGGTATAATGGGAACCCCCACCTTTCTAGTTCTTAATGAGTGGCACCAAACCAATATTTGCCATTCCCTCAGGAATGTAATATGCTTTTGATTTACTTTCTTGGCAAAAGGTGTGGGGTAGTGTACTGGTCTAGTCCCACACTGCTAATAAAGACATACCTGAGACTGGGTAATTTATGAAGTGGTTTAGTTGACTCACCATTCCATATGTCTGGGGAGGCTTCACAGTCATGGTAGAAGGTGAAAGGGAAGCAAGACACATCTTACATGGCAACTGGCAAGAGAAATTGAGAACCAAGCAAAAAGGGTTTCCCCTTATAAATCCATCAGTTCTTGTGAGACTTATTTACTACAATGAGAACAGTATGGGAAAAACTACCCCCATGATTCAATTATTTCCCACTGGGTCACTTCCACAACATGTGGGAATTATGGGAGCTACAATTCAAGATGAGATTTGAGTGGGGATATAGCCAAACCATATAAAGTATTGAAGCTTCCAGCTGGCCTTTCTCACTCTGATAGTTCTAACCACACACAGAAGCCAAAGAACCCAAAGTAAGGTATACCCATGCCAGTTATATATTTGGAGAATTGAGAAATAAACATGGAGTATTTTGTACACATAGTAGATTCATTGTGAGGCAGACAAAAGCCAATAGTCTATTAATTTTATCTGCCCTTTATATGTCCCTATTTCAGCAGAGGACTCATTATGATGCTTGGAAATCAATGTCTCTTCAACTCCTGTGTCCAGCAATCCTCAGAATGTCTTGTTTTCTTATTTCTCCAGTGCACAGTTACCCAGTAATGTCCAAGATCTCTTATGTGGAAAGACTGGAGAAATTATTTCCACACACATTTGTTGTAAGATAGCAGGATCCTTCTTTCTGGAAATCCAGCTTCTTCAGCCAAGGGATTCTGGGTCTAATATCAGGCTCTGTCTGGGAATTGGCAACAGATTTTGCCTATTTATTGAGGCAGATTTTTAGTCTCCCAGTCACCTATCCTTGATTTTTTTGTTGTTGTTTAAATAAATTAAGCATCATTATTGTTGACTACTCACACTGCCCCTAGAAATACTGAGCTGTTTAAAACTGTATTAGGCTGTTCTTGCATTGCTGTAAAGAAATACTTGAAACTCTATAATTTATTTTTTTTAAGAGGCTTAAATGGCTCATAGCTCTATAGGCTGGACAGGAAGCATGATGCTGGCATCTGCTCAGCTTCCAGGGAGGCCACAGGAAACTTACAATTATGGCAGAAGGTGAAGGGGAAGTAGGCACATCACATGGCCAGAGCAGGAGCGAAAGAGCGAAAGTGGAGATACTACTCACTTTTAAACGATAATATCTAAGGAGAATTCACTTGCTATTGTGAGGACAGTACAAAGGGGGACGGTTCAAAACTATTCCAGATAATTCTGCCCCTGTGATCAAATTGCCCCCTATCTGGCCCCACCTCCAACATTGGGGATTACACTTCAGTATGAGATTTGGGTGGGAACATTCCAAACTATCTCAGAAGGTTATAATTTTCAGGTTGCTACTCCAACCTTGCTACCCATTACAGTAATTGCACCCAGCTTGTTATGGATGGTGAAGTGCCTATCATTGCACTACTATCAGGAATCACAGTTATGTAACAGTAACTCTCCTGTTAGCCTTGGCCTCTAGAGTGTATCCACCAAAACTTCTAAATGATTGTGTTACCTTTCTCACAAGCACATTGCTTACAGATTGTTCTTTAAGCTCCTTTGGAATATAGTTGGCTGGTGGATTTTCCTGCCCTACATATTCTTTCTGAAATGCTCTTTTCCATGAGCCTTTTGATCCCATCCTTTACCATCTTCCATGGCACTCCTGGTATTTTACTTCACTTCATGTAGGCCGTCACTTGTTTCAGGATTTCAAAAGAGTCATGCATTCTCCAGGTTCCTTACCAGGATGTTATTTCCTGTATCACAAATAAGTGCTCTCATTTTATTAAACTTTTCCTTATCTAACTTTACATTCCACCCTTCACGATTAATTATCCTCATGGTCCATTCCCATGTTTCTTGGCTCCTTCTTGTACATGCTATCTTGTGGCATATGGTCCCTTTTCTCCCGTGGCAGGCCCAGCACTTCCTAGAGAGGAACACAGATGTGAGGTGTCAATCAGCTGACACTCCTGGCCGCAGGGGAAATAAGTCCCTTTTTTTTAAAGTAGCAATTATGTTATTATTTTTTAGTTTTATTTTAATAAAAATTTTATATATATTTAAGGTATACAACATGTTGTTCTTATCCACATATCCATAGTGAAACAGTGTCTTTGTCCTGAAACTATGATTTGAATATATCCCACAGTATCCCCTAAATTGCTAAAGCCACTTTAAAAGTAAAGCAAAATAAGAAACAACACAAAATTCAGTTATTGGTTATCTCTTTGGAGAAGGAGGGGAATACAATTGGGAAGGCACAATGAAATCCTCAAAGTTATAGATAAGGTTTTAGTCTTTTAACCTGTATGATGAGAGAACAGTTGTGTTTTTAAATTATTGTCATTCTTTAAACTGAAGGAATACATTTTATACACAGTTGTATATATTATACAACCATAATTTAAAAAATTAAATAAAATGATTCCTGGCACTAAATCCAATAATAATAAAAATAAACAGTAAGAGTTACTGAAAGCAACTTATTTCTTAATTTAGAAGAGGAAGGATAAGGATGTGTTATATGAAATACATGAATATAAAGAGAAAGTGTCAACTTTAAAGATATGAATATTTAGATGGTTTCTTTTAAATGTGCAAAAACTCAGGGTGAATTCAGAAACGGAGAATTCAAACAAATACTCTGACATGCTTTTCCCATAGCCTTCCCCATCACAGCTGGTAGCAACTCCCTCCTTCCAGTTACTCAGACCAAACAACCTAGAATCATATTCAACACCTCTCTGTTACACCACCCCGCCCCTATATTTCTTCTGTTCTATTAGTTATATAGTCAGACGGCTGTTACCCAGGTCTGAGCTACCATCACCTTTTGCCTGGATAATTGCAGTAGGCTCCGAGTAGATCTTCCTGCTTGAACTGTAAAAAAAAAAAAAAAAACTCAGTGGACAATTGTTAAAATGACAAAATAAAACTTTATTCAAGGATATCACAGTAGAGAAGAGTGATTAAATTCAACCCTGTTGAAATAAAAGGCAGGAGACTTTGAAAGCACTAAAAGAGCTAGTGGAACAGTAGTGGAGTACATTAGCGGTCAGGTTGTCAATGTGATTAAGCTATCTGTGTTTGCCAATTGAGGCTTATGAAAGTTAGACTCCTACCCTCTCACAGAGACTGGGAAATAGGCACACAATCTTTCTTGATGATTGGAGTTCAAAGAAATGGCTCCAAGGTCCTTGAGAAAGACTTCCCTGAGTTGTGAAATTGGCAAGAGGCTGTAAGAAGATTTACATCTCAAAGAAGCAGAGAAAGCATTCATAATTGCAAATTTTCTAAAGTAAATGCTGTAAAAAAAAAAGGGGGGGTGGCACAAGAGGTTGCTGTCAGAAAGAACCCTGTATAAAGTTCAGTCAAGCTGAGGGAAACATTAGGACCTTCTTGGTCACTACTGTTGCACTCACAGTCTCTTCTCAACATAGCAACCTGACTGATTCTTTTAAAATATAACTTAGATCATGTCACTCTACTGCGCACAACTCTCCAATGGTGCCCTCTTTGCCTGAAATGTTTCTTTCTCTGGATTTCCATATGACTGACTTTCTCACTTTTTACTTATTTTGACATAACATTCTCACCCCAACCCATCTCACACTACCAAATTACAAATTGCCTTTTATATGATCTGTTTTCTCTTATACTTTAGCATTTATCACCTAAAATATGATATTATTTGTTCAGTATGCTTATTGTTCACTGTGTGTCTCTAATCACCGGAATGTTAGCTTAACATGGGGCTCGAAAATGATACCCCAGAGTATAGCACTTTCGCATGCTGTGTACTTTGAACTGAAGGACATTGGCAGTGCCTCAAAGCAGAGTCTTTTTCAGACCATCTCCTGCTTTCCTTTTCCTGCTGCCTTTTCTCTCCCAAAGCAGAGCTCAGAAACCAGAATTCCACTTTCCCAAGTTGGATCACAGAAACTGCAAATACTACTTTAAACTTTCTTCACCTTTTTTGTGTGTAGGAATAGGCTGTAAAGAATCTCTGACCAACCATGCCCGATAGGTCATAAGATCCTCATTCCAGATGAGGCCCTGTCGTCTACCCTGGAGCAAGGAAAGCCACATAGACATAGAGAGATCAAGAAGATATCAAACAGGGAGACCTTGCTGGGTTTTCCCACTTTGTCTATTACCATAAGATCATTCCCATTTTATTCAATCACATTTGTACACAGATAGCCATTCTTCCTCAAACCAAGGCATTAAAAAAACTAGGACTAAGCTAATACTATTTCTTGCACAATCTAGGACAATTAGAAACCAAATAATTGTTTTCCTAAATCTTTGACTTTTTATTTCTGAAAAATGAAATGAAACTTTGCATTTCATTTCCCTGTTGCATAAAACTTTGATTAAATACATATCTTAGGCTTTTCTTGCATTAACCTATTGTTTTGGGAGTGTTAGCTTTATGATGAAGAGGAAAGTAATTGCATCCTCTTTACCCCTACAAATGTATGAGAGTGAAGGTCTTAGTTTTGTTTTTTGGC